GTGTATTTTAAATTTGTTTCAAACCTACTCATGAAAAGTTCTGCTAAAAATGGTGATAGCGGATTTCCCATTGCTGTGCCCTCAGTTTGCTCATAAAATTTATTTTGAAACTGAAAAACATTTTGACTCATACATAACTTTGTTAAATTAATAAGCTCATTTATTTTATCCTGTTCAATGTTTTGGTCCTTTAGCCAGTCTTTAAGAAAATCAATTGTTATATTTATTGGAATATTCGGAAATAAGGCAACTACGTCAAAAGAAATTAACCTGTCATTATTTTGAATGGTATAACTAGATAATTGTTTAACTAAATCAATATTATTTTTAACTGAAAAACTATCGAATTTTTTGAAAGATGAAAATACCCTTACTAGGTGTTTAGCCAAATTGTAAGTCGGAGCATTAATATTCGACACAATAGGTCTCATAGTACTTCCTGGCTTATGTATTTTTGGCAAAGCATATAGTTTAGGTATTTGAGGGTTTGAAATTTTAATGAAAAACCTGAACTTTTCTTCGATTATTAATTTTGAACTATTTATGACGTTTGTAGCCTCCCTTATCATTTTACTTAATGGATTCTTTTTAATTTCTTTATAAGGACCCTCTTGAATCATTCTTGATACTCTTTCATAATAATCTTCTTTTTTTAATATTACAACAGAATTCCCCTTATCTGCCTTTAAATAAAAACAGTTTTTATTTTTTAAGTCTTTTATGAGTCGTGAATGTTTTTCATTTTTTCCTAAACCCCCTTTATTTATAACAGAATTTTTTTGTAGAAAATTTAAACACTCCCTTCTTGCTAAGTCTTGATTATTAAAATCAACACTTTTAACCCCCATTTCAATTCCTACTAGTAGATCTTCCATTGGAAATTTTTTTGGTAAAAAACTTGTTTTAAGACCCAACTTAAGTATTTCAGTTTCTTCAACGGAAAAAACAATGTTTGTGTAATTTTTAACTAAATCGTCCCCCCAGTTTTTAGAAAATGAAACTACCGGACTCTTATTAAAATTATCTATTTGACCCTTATTTTTGTATTCTGAAAGTAAATTTTGAAATTTTTTATTTAACTTTTCTTTTTTTGTTTTAAATTTATGTTCAACCACTTGGTACATCTTCAGCTCGAAGATGTCCCACTGTGATTGACTCAAAAAATTAGAAAGTTTTAAATGTAATTGATAAGCCCCCATTTCTAATCTACTTCTATTGCGATAATGATTTATTATTTCTAACTTAAGAAATTTCTCCTGAGCGAAATTTATTGACTTGTAAAAATTAATATTATTATTGTTTGACTTACTTGGTAATCTGGCAAACTTCGGAGTCATATGGAACTTAATACATTTTTTGAGAAAAAATATATCAGCTCCAATCAGGCGTACTTTCGTCTTGATTTGCATCAGTTTGTTTAACTCTTTATTATGATCAAAAGGCCCGAACGCCATAATTATATAATAAAAATTGATCACTTGTGGCTAGTTAATTAAGTAAAATTAAAACTATATTAAAAATATTATTAATTTAAAAAAACTAAAAAATATTAAAAATATTAAACTCAAAAGCCACAATTTTTTTTACCACCAATGATTTTTTACCTGCCTACAGGGGGGGATTCAAAATGACAACTTTTTCACAAAAAATTGACTTTTTCAACTTAAATTTTGAAAGTGTTCCGGAAAGTCTGACACTTTTATATATATCTTAAATTAAAGCTAATGTAATATACTTTATCATGGAAAAAAAAAATTTCGGACTTTATTTTATCTTCATGGTGAAAACAGACATTAAACTTAATAAAAAAAATACGATTTTTGTAAAAAAATTCTTTTTTATATTTTTAACTTTATAATGCTATAACTTCTCGAAAGATGTATGGATCAATATAATTCTTTTTTTTGTAGATGCATGATGTCTTTACCTATCATTTGGTATATTTTTTTTATAAATCTGACTTTTTACCTGCCTACAGGGGGGGATTCAAAATGACAACTTTTTCACAAAAAATTGACTTTTTCAACTTAAATTTTGAAAGTGTTCCGGAAAGTCTGACACTTTTATATATATCTTAAATTAAAGCTAATGTAATATACTTTATCATGGAAAAAAAAAATTTCGGACTTTATTTTATCTTCAAGGTGAAAATGGCTACCAAATGCTATTATTGTGTGAAAATTCTCAATTTTATTTTTTACATTTTTAACATTATAATGCTATAACTTATTGAAAAGTGTATTGATCAATATAATTTTTTTATGGGAAATACTATTTTCTAATAATCTCTTTTTTATTCTACATACTTTGTCTTAATCAGGATATTAATAAGGAACTAGCAGTTTATGAAGCTTTTGGAATAATCCACCAATTTTTTAAAATTAAACACTATCTAAAGATTTGCATCGAAGCGTTTTTTTTTGATAGTGATTTTAATCACTGTCAGATATCATTATACTTGATCCAACTATGCCACGTCACCACTGTGCCGCGACCCCCCTGTGCTGGGTTTTTTTAAATTAATGTTGTAATAATGTTTTTATAACATATAATGTTATATTACTCAGTCACGTGATTTCAAGAAAATTATTTGATAGGGTCAGCAAAATTTTGTTTCTCACTAGCCAGCTTTTTAAAAGTTTAATCCTTTCGTTCTTAATGTTGGCGTTTTTTTTAAATCCATACGCATGTTTTTAATCAATATATCTGATTATTATTGCACATGTATTAATTAATGTAGCTTTATTCATTATTCATTCCTTAAATTTGTTTTTCAAATTACAATATTTTTAATTTGAATATACTAAATCATCAATAATTCTTCAAAATAAATACTTTGTAATTTTTATTGTTTATGAATTCTACTATAATGTTAATTTATGCATTTGTTTTTTTGTCGCCTATTTCATTGATTTTTGAATATGATTCTAAATTTATGACTAATAAATGACATTTTCGAATAAATCAAATATTATATAAATAAATAAAAAATATACAGATTTATTAATCTTGCTTATGGGTTTTTATAATTTATGTAGTTATTATAAAAAAAAGGTATTTTTGATAACATGTTATAGGATTTAAAAAAAAAATTATATTAAATTAAATCATATTTTAATTTAATTATGAAGGAACAAAAATTTTTTTTATTACACTAAATGGATATTTATATATATATATATATATTTTTTAAATCGTATTGACACTTATTGTGAAATAAATAAGTTAAAAATAAAATTAATTTTATTAAAGCATTCTTAGTGCAGTATAGAAAAAAACAAAATAAAATAATGTTAGAACAAAAGCGATATAATACAATTTTAATAATTTTTCAAGAGATATTTAAAACAATTTAATAAAGACTTTTATACTATTATACTGTAAATACTACTGAGTTATTCCATTTATAATAAATAAGGCATTTGATCTTGAGTCTTCTTATTTTATTTAAATTTTATTGCCGTTGCTTTAAACCAAAGTGGGATAAAAATTTGAAAAAAAAAATGTTTAAGTAGATCGATTCAGTACTATGGTGCCATAAAGATAGTAATCTAAATATATATAGTAAAATTTAAAAATTCATATATTTTTTTTAAATAAGTTGAGAAAGGTCCAGTGTTCTCCAAATTTTACAAACAAAAATTCCATAATTTAAAATTCTGAAAAAAACCACATTTTGAAATTCATACAATAAATAATTGAATAATCCTCATATGTAATAAAAATAGATGTATAGTGTATAATTATTTCTAGATCAAAAAAGTCGATCTTCGAAATTTTAATGAGAACTATTTTAACTTTATTATATATATATATATATATATTAAAATAGACATTTTGTGAAGATTTGAGATTTTTAAAAAAATGTTTTCTGGTCGCTTAACGTGTTTTTAGTATTTTGACCAAAAATACCCCAAAAAACCACCTCTGTTATTCAATTTTTGGTCAAATATTATGATTAGTATATCAAAATGGTTAGATTTTTACTATAGAATATAAATATTTTAGTTTCAAAATTTTAATTCAGAAATTGATAGCGTGGATATCATAATTATCGTCATTATACAGTATATTTCTATTAAGTGTTATGTAAGCTTAAAATTTTCAAAAGCATTGAATATAGATGTCGGCTAATAGATATTAGTTTTTTGGTCACACTTTGAAAATATAAAAAATTAGCTAAAACAGAACCTTTGAGCTTTTTTTTAATTAATAATTTTTTTTTGTCGTAATCATTAGAGATGAGATTTGGTCATTGAGTAGTCCATTAAACCCTAAAATTAAATTGAACATAAATTTTACTAAAATTTTGTGTTATAATTGTCATATGTAATTAACGCCCCAATGGTTCTGTTACTGTATATGAAAATATTTAAAAAAGCAGATAATCAAATTTAGTTTTTCAAATTTTTGTTTTTTAGATAAATTTTTGATCTTTTATCTTTTAATTTTAAATATAAAATTTACTAAATGATTAAAAAAAATTCCTTCCACCCCCCCTCCCCCAAAAAAAAATCTCTACACTAATGTAAATTTTAATGTTTGTTTTATTCATCTGTTAGTAATGTTTCCCTATTTTTGGCAAATAAACAAATAAATTGATAGTATTTTAACAAGTTATTTTTCATTTTGTTAAATCTATTTGAGTAATATTATTATTCAACAATTTGAAAAAAAGTTTTAAAAAACAATGATATAAGCAAAATCAATTTAACTTCATCGATATTTTTAAATAATGAAGTCATGAGCTTAAGCTCATCTCTTCTTAAAATTGTTTGTTTTGTGTTATGCCTACATTTAATTTTTTTTATAGATTTAAATTCATAATATAGCTTGTCAATTATCTTTTATTACTGTTTTCATTTTGAAATAATATTTTATAGATATGGTGAAGTAAGTTTTAAGGAAGGTATGAGATCCCGTGACGGCGAAGTACAAGGACTGACGTCATCACAATGCCGTCAGTTTGTGCCTATTTTTATTGGTATCTAAAGCTAATTTATTTAATCAATGAGCAAATTAAAGCAATATAATCGAGTAAAATATTTTGAAAATGGTTTCTGCTATCTAAAGTTTTAATTAAACTTACGGCGATCGATGGGCATGGTATGGCGCGGTGGTCACACTAGTTGTTGAAAAAACTCTAGTGTTAAGTCGCGCCTACCGCCGTAGTTGATCGGATGGGTGACCATGCGTTCGGCTTGTATGGTGGCGAAAAAGCACTATGTTCCCAGTACAGAGGAAACGGAAAACCACTGCACTTAAATTTCCCCAGGATATACCAATAATATTAACCAACCTAACGGGTGTAAAAAAAAAAAAAAAACGACGATCTAATTAGTAGGATTACTCTTAGATATCGAAACAGATCATCAATCACGTGATGAACATTTTACTTCCCTGAAGTAAACTGAAGTACTTCCCTGGGGTATACGCCGTTAGTCGCCGGTTGTGGTATAGGCTAAGAAGTGGCTTCCCAATGAGGGAGAACACGGCTAGATAATCTTTAATATTCCAGATTTTCCGGTACTGTGATAACACCCCCTGGTTAGCAAATGTAGTGGTAATATGAGAGTTATGTTATTTTTATCATTGCCCATTACTATTACCTCCACTCTATATTTAAAAATGTTAACTTCCAAATTTTGGCTCAAAATTTATTTAAAATAAAAACTATATTAAAAATATTATTAATTTAATACTAAAAATTATTAAAAATATTTAACCCAAAAAGCCACAAAAAACTAGAGGATACATATTTCATATTATCATTACCAACGCTAAAATCATACTCAAAATTTGTTATCGAATATTCATATTCTTTATTAAAAAACTTTTTTAATGTATACAATAGTTATATACGTATATAGCCAATAAACAATAAAGTTGATACCCTTATATAAAAGCGTGTCAACTTTAATTTATTCTTTACATATTAAGGAATGCATTAAAAAAATACTTTTTAGGAAAACGAATGAATTGTTATAAAAGCAACATAAAGTTCTATTTTCTTAATTAAATCCTAATTACAAGTTTTATAATTTACAAGTATAATAGTATATTAGTATGATATATCATAATTTAATATTATAATTTGTACTTAGAGATTATAAAAGTTTATAAAGTAGTTATATATTTCATTACCTCTATGAAAAATATCTATCGAATAAAGATTTATGAATAAAACAAAGAAAAGAAAATTAGTTTATTTTGGCCCTTTTTAGCTAATTATATTTTCAGTTATAAAATTGTAATCTAAAAAAAGCCACATGTGATGATAGTTAGAACATTTTTTTTGTAAAGGAACTTTTTTTATTTTACACAATTATTCAACTTTAAAGTAGAATAATGAGTGGGGGAGGGGTTGAACCCCCAAATCTCCCACTTATTTAATAACCTGTCAACTTGTATAATTTTGAGCTCTTCTCCTTAAATAAATTTTACATTTATGATAAGGACTGGCCTGATCATAAGTGTAAAATTTATTTATTTTTATTAAACTTATGAATTTAATTTTTGCATAACTTTGTTAAGTTATTAAGGGGTTAAAATTAAAAATCCATTTCCTTCCAAATATTAATGCTAATGCAAAAATATATGATCAAAATTAAAAATCTGGTTTTCTTGAATGTGTGAGAAATGGAGCGTTATCTTTCTGGGAATACCAAATTTGGCATCTTCTGAAAACTTTTTGTTAGAAGGAAATAGATAATTCTCCATAATATGAATGTATGTCACTAACAACTGCGTCTTGTAAAAAATGTTATTGCCCAGTTCCTTTTTCTGACAAGCAGTCCCTAAATCATTGTACAACCACCTCGTTTCTGTACTTTTATCAGCAAGACAGTTGCTATTATATTTCTCACAACTAGCGAGTCTCACTCGTTTTGGTCAATTAGAGAAGAGTTGGAACGATTACGTTTCTTAATAAATTAGTTGAAATAATATAAGATATACGTTTTCATGTAATTTTTACTTAGCATATTCACAAAATGAACTTATTTGACAGTAAATTACCAAAAATAGCTAATTTTACGTTGCTCAAAAATTCTCATTATATGCCTGTGATTTGAATATTTTTAGCTGGAACGACAAGAAAATTTTTTTATCAAACTTTATTATCAAAATAAAATGTAGAAAAAAAAATTACGCAGTAAAAATTTTTTAGAAAGCCTTTAAAATGATTTAATGACTGAAGTTTGCTGTATTTGTAAAAATAAATTTTTAACGAAAATTTAGATAAAAGTTAAACTGCAAATGGAAATAATGCAAAATAAACGGTTTTATTTTAAATTTATGAACATATTATATAAAGACAAAAGTTTCATGCATTTACTTGTTGATTGAAACGTTAATGATTGTGTACAAGGCCAAAATCTTAACACATGAAATATAAAATTTAGAGGTGTCTTATAATTTTGACCACTACTGTAATATTATATTTATTAAGACTGTTTTAAATAACATAGACATTTATCTAAATTTCAGGGTTACTAGTGAATTTTAGCAATAAACAAAAAAAGTGTAAAAAAACATTTTTTTGTTTAATTAAAAAAAAAAGTAATTTAATTCATAAATTGCATAAGAATTGGTTACTTTTGACTACTTTAATATTTAATTACATTCAAATAACTTGTGTATCTAATATAAAATTCCAACAAAAACTTCTAAAATAACAAACCTTATTACATGTATAATTAAAGATATATACAAATAACAATATACATTGACAGAATAATAAAACAATACAATACTGAAAAAATGTGCAGTGTATTCATTAAAAGGATACATTATTTTTTAAAAAATTATTAGATATGTTATTTAATAGCAATAAAGATGGCTAGATATTGAATAGGAATGTTTTTAGTAGAAAAGGCAATCATTTTTTTAAGATCCGACTTATTTCTTTGTTTTGTCTTCCCATATTTATATCAGCCTTATCAGCTTTACCAATAATATTTTCTACCAAGTCATTTTGAGAATCAATTTCTTCTCCTAAACCAAGAGCTAAACCTATAAAAAAATATTTAATTAAAATATAAACTAATAACCAGACATTAATAATTAATAATTTCATGCCTTTTAATCGAGTCACTGATCCTAAAATTTCATCTAAATTATTATCTAATGATGATTGCACATTACTTGGTTTAGTAACTTCATTGTCAGTCAACCCTCTAATTCTTAAACCTATAAAGAAGACATAATAAAATAATTCATACAGTAATAAATGTACTACTTATTTATAAAAATAACCAGATTGAATAATATCTATTATATTATAGAAGTTATTAAAAATATAAAAATATCATTTTATACATCAGCATTCAAAATATTTCAGATCTTTTCTCACCTGTATTTAAAAAAGAACAGTTGAATAAAAACAAATGCCTGTTATTAAAATAAATGTACAGAATTACAATAAATCTACCCTCCCATTTGAAATACTAGAAATGAAAAAAATTTATCTGTGAGCTTTAAGAGACATAGTTTAATCACCGAGTTTTCTTAACATATTATTTTCTCAATTTGCCAAAATAAAAATTAAAAATTAAAATATTTATTAATAGAAAATTAAATAATAAATAAAACTGTATTTTGTATATTATTTAAAATAATTTATTTTTAAATATGAAATTAAATATGATTCGCAATATTACAAATTTAATAATAAATGGTCTTTTCAGAAATGTTTTAATAAATCTTAATTTTTCAAAATACAAATATACTACATTGCTTTTAAACCTCCTAAATTTTGAATTTTTTCACAATAACTATACCACAAAACCTCTTAATTTTATAGTACTAAAATGTTTATTCATACCTGGATGCTCCTCCATAGAACTTAAGTTTGAATTTGTTTGTGCTAATGTTGCACATAATGTGCTTCTCCTTACTGCACTTATATTAGGAGCGACTGATGGCTCATCTATTGAAGCACTACGGGCAGGTAAACTAGATTTTCCACTGAGCATATTCTTAAAATTTCCAAATATACTCTATATATAAATTAAAAAATTTCCAATTAATTAATTTAGAATATTAACCATATAAGTATCATCATCAACATTATCATCTCCTTAGCCTCAATCCTAACTATTTGAGATTGGCTCTACCTTACAACTTGATAGTTTTACAACAGCTGTTAATCTGATACAATCTTATGACTGAAGGGGCTGATATAAGGACAAGGTGTTAAAGTCTTTGTATAGTCACCCACCCAGGAATCAATAACAAACAACGCTTCTAAAAATCAGCATAAATAAGGTAATTGATTGATCCAATGCAGCACACCATGTCCCTTCTATTTAAATACATAAAAAAATAATTACTTTTATGCCTTGAATATGTTTTTGACTAACACGTAAATTTGAATTAATCTCATCTAACCGTCTGTCAGTATTTTGCAACTGTTCTCTTTGTCTAACCAATTCCTGTAATACATTACATTCATTAAACAATAATGTAAAATTATAACATTTTTAGAATACATACTTCAGCAGTGGCAGTTCCAATATTTTCTGATTCCCTTAAAAGACGTAATGTTCTTTCAGTAGATTGAAGAGTTCGTTGCTCTACATCTTTAGTTGCTTCAATCACTTGTTGTTTTTGTTGATGAGCATTGGCTAAACTTTGATTACTAAAATTTTGACCTAAGAGATCATTTCTATTTGGTCGGACACGGCTGAGAAATTCATTGTCATCAATCTCATCTTCCTCGTCAAATATACCTCTGGAACTGTTACTCACATAGCGATTTTTAGACATACTGCAAAGATATAAAATTGTTCTAAAATAAAAAAAAGTATAGTGTAATTTAATTTTACAAATTATCACAACGTGAGTATGAGTAATATAAAACAATGAATAACAAACAAAACCTGTTACTGGCGTAAATGAATAGATTACTTACGTAGCTCTAACTGTATTATTGCAACAGATGCCACAAATATCTGTGATTATTGTAAAAACAAAAATACAATGATTATGTTAATGTTGTAGTGTGATATGACCTTATCACAGTTATCAACAAAATAAATTTTATTTAAACATTATCGTTACTAACATCATTCATATGTAAGATCAGATTTTGTATTTCAAACAAGAGTATGAAGCTCCCTATTTCAGAACCACCACTTTTTATTACTAACATATTTCAATTACCGCTCAGCTACCAATTAATTATATAGTATAACGTTTTTTTCTACAGCTAGATGTGGCCACATATACCATGAAGCATACGCTTAAACAATTCAGTGGTCGTACGGACAACAAAGAATTGACGGCCTGGTAGTGGGAGCACAAATACGCTGCTATCGTATCTAACTATACTATCCAAATAATCAAATAGCCTGGACTTTTCTTGGATCATTTTTAAAAATCCAAATTACCATCGACGTATAGTGACAATTATGCGCACCAAGCCATATAAACTGATTAGAGAAAATAGACTCAGATGGTTTGGTCATGTTATGAGGAGAGAGGGAATCGGAAGCTGTAAGAACAGTTATATAAATGAATGTTGAAGGAATTATAGGTAGAAGAAGACCAAAAAAAGATAGAGGAAAGTTATTGAATGCGATATGAGGACGGCTGTTGTGAGAGTAGATGATGTGGGAGATCGTGTCGAGTAGAAATTTAGGATAAGGGTGACCGACCCTAAATACTTTATGATTAAGGCGAGGAGAAATCAAAGAAGATGAAAAAATAATTATTAATAAATAATTGTTATTATTTAGAAATTATTGAACTAATCAACGAATGTTTAAAAAAATATCTATTGTGATAGTTTAAAATAATAGTAAGTTTAGCTAACATGAGTTACGGCAACTGATTTAAATTTCGGTTCGGATACGCATTATTTATTGTCGTGTGCTCCGCGGAATGACAATATAAACACACACATTTGCAGTGAGACGTTGAGATATAATAAATATAGTTTAAAAAAACTAAAAAAACTCGCTTTTAAAGCACATCGAACTAAAAAGTTAAAAATAATTTTTAAAATAATTATGAACAAAAAATACTAGTATTATTGTGATAAAAGCGTGGGTGCTTTGTGCCATATTTTTCGTATATTGAGCGCCCGACGCTTTTATCACAATAATACTAGTATTTTTTGTTCATAATTATTTTAAAAATTATTTTTAACTTTTTAGTTCGATGTGCTTTAAAAGCGTGTTTTTTTAGTTTTTTTAAACTATATTTATTTTTCACTTTTTAGTTTCATGTTATGATAGTAGTTACTATCAATATCATGGTTGTAACGGGAAATCAGGGTTCGATTCCGGGGAGGGTGTCTGAAAAATGGCTACCACATCCAATGGAAGCAGCAGGCGCGTAAATTAACCACTCCCGGAACATGGAGGTAGTGACGAAAAATGACGATACGGGAATCATTCTTTGTAATCGGAATGAATGAGTTCTATATCTCTAAATAAGAATAAAGTGTGTTAATATATATTTTTAATAGTAAATAGAATATATATATACATGTAAAGCGACTTAAGTACGTAAACGTATCATGCATTAGGTATAGCCGTGTTTTGTGGGCGGGCGGGTCGGACTAACGTTATACCTGAGGTATACACGGCGGTAGGAATACAGGGTGTTCAGTAAGTCAGGAAACGGGTTTCTATTGTTCTCATTGTTTGTAACAATGAGAACAATAGAAACCCGTTTCCTGACTTACTGAACACTCTGTATATGCGTAAGCCGTATGCACGCGGATGATAATGGTCAGTCAAAATAAAAATTTGTTTATATATATATAATATTGATGACACGCACGTGTGTACGGGTACGATAACCAAAAATAAATTTATACAGGAATAGTATTGCCGGCTATTGATGAGAGTGGCGTGGGGTGGGGTGAATGCGTTATGACAGTCTAGTCTAGACCAGAGTTTCTCAAAGTGTGGTCCGCGGACCCCCAGGGGTCCGCGAGCACATATCAGGGTTAGGTCTTTAAAACTGTAGGTCTTTAGAGGGGGGTCCGTGATTCATTTGACTTTGAGAACCTCTGGTCTAGACGACCGAATATGCGATAACGTGTGGCGCGTGGAGAGTTACAAACATACATACATACAAACATACAAACATACATACATACATACATACATACAGGTGAAACTAATATAAGCGTGTTAAAAACAGTTTCAGAGAAAACATACAGTAATGTCGTAGAACAACTTTCGGCGTCACTAACCCGAGTTTCAAGGAAGAGTATATCAGTCCAGTAAATATCAGTCTTGAACATAAATTTCAAGATTAGTTTTTTTTAATAGTCTATTTAGAAGAATGGTTTAAGTCTAGTTTACGGGGCACCCTTTTTTTTAATAAGCTTTTTTTTTTAATTTACTTTCTTATTGCAGATAAATAATATGTAAAAATATTTCAGCGAAAGCATATGTTTCAAAAGTTACAACGTTTGAAAATTGTGAGATATTTTGTTATTGACTGATAAATAAAGACCTAGTATAAGAGAAAAATGTGTTAAAAAAGTTCTTTTAGTTTATTTTTATTGATAATTTCTATTAATAGTCATAAAAATTTTATGACTTTTCCAGTGACTGTTGGGATTTGTTGGGTAACTGTACTTTTTTAGTCATGAGAGTTTTATATAGATTGTAATTTGGCTAGACTTTCTTTACTTTGGGGCTTTGAGGACGTGATCCTTATCCCACAAGAATCATGTAAAACCGGTAAGCGTAATTGATCCTTTGATTGTTTTACCAATAACTTTTGCAGTTATTTTTATTTTATTAAGTTATAAAAAAGACCGTTCTGCATTGTTTCTGTTTATTATTTCGCAGAAAATCTGTAATATTCAATAATTTTATGATATTTTTGATTTGTTCACTCGGCAACTTCAAGATACTATAACTTTTTAACCATTTGTTTCTGTTAATTTTTTAATCGGATTTGAAAAAAAACAATTTAAATATTTATGTTTAAAAATATAAAAAGCTATAAGTTAATTTTAAATTTGCCATAAGTGTTTACAATTATCCATTGAACTTAGTAACTAAACTATACATTTAAACTACAAAACTATAAATTATGTTGCGCCATGACACTCCTAAATTAACGGTTGGCGTCAATAGCTTATAAGGATCATGTGGACCGATAATACTTAACCTAAAATAAAGTACATAACTTTTAAATGATTAATTTTTATATTTAAATGATGTTGTGGCCTTATGAGCTAAGGGATACAACAAATACTCTCTCTGGTGTTTGGGTATTGAATGATGCTATAGCTGATCTGCCTCCTTCGTGAATCACATGAGCTGTACATTGACTTGGTTATCTGAGCTGATATTCTCCATTTCATTGAATCCTCTGCATAGGACAGCAGTACATTAAAACTGTAGGATAATATTTACATTCTTCACATCAACAATGTGGTTTTATTTGAGAGCACAATTATGAACAGAGCACTGTATGAGCTTACATATTAACTATCTACGGTGTGTAGAAGTAAGTAGAGCACGTTAAAACAATGCATGAGCTTGCAGGTTAGAGAGAACACTCACATATTTAAAAAACCACAGAAACGTTAAATTGTACTGACAACAGCAACAGCAGCTGATAACAACGGTACAAGTGGGTATTGCACCATATCCAGTATAACCAACTAGAGGTGAACATATACTAGATTGATAACTCTTTTATCGGGCTCAAACAAATTAAAAGCAGATTTTTTTCGGTTTACTCTCTGTCGAGGTACTATTTCATAATAAATAACTTTATAATTAAAATATGTACTTAATATTTTCCTTATGTATGTAAGACGACAATTTTAATTACTTTCAAAAGTATTGTAACTATACTCTCTACATATTAAGGTCTCCAGGTGCAGTGATCTACGCGAGCTTTTTTCAAGGGTAGTGTCACAATATATGTGATTTAGGCATTTTTTATTTGAACTAATAAAATGCTTCCATCTAAGTTGACTAAAATATCTTATGATATAATAAAATATTGAAAATTAGCCAATACTGGAAAAATTACTTAACAACGTACGATTTTCAACATTTTTTTTAAATAAAAGAGCTCGACGATGTTATTCTAGGAAAATTATACGCGTAATTAAGAAATATTTTTTTAGCACACCGTGAGCGTTTAAAAATGTTAACAAAAACGCACATTGCCACCAGCGTTTTTCGATTTAAAATCTGAAATTTTTACCAGACCTGCTTAGAGTTATTCCAAAGGTACCCTGAAATTTTTCATATAATCATACGATGATTAAGAAAAATGAACTTATAATAATTAGAAAAAATAGGTTGAAAAATTATGTACAGCACCTGTGTCAAGAACTGTCGTCATAACGCCTGTTCGTATACACAAATTTTACGGTTTGTGTTTTCACTGTAAATTTCATAACATGTGTGTTTCAAATTTGTACTTGTCTTGTGCTTCAGTATCGCATCTATTAATATCAAAACCACTATTTATTTTAATTGATTTTTTTTCATTATTTTGTTCAAGTGTCTTTTAATACACATTATTGAAGCTAAATATAAAATTATCATTAATAAATAATGTATTTAGGCTCTTTGGCTTAATTATAATTAATAAATTCGACAATTGAAGAGTTAGATATATTTATTTTAAAAATGTATTTAGAATTTTGATTCACACATTATCGTCCAAATAAAGAACCTCGGAATGATTTGAATTTATTAACTCAATTGTAAGAGTCTAGTGAAATTAATAAGATTATTAGCGATGTAGAAATTGTAAGCATTTTCGGGTCATTTATGGTAACTTACAATTAGTAATAAGCTTGTTAGTCGTATTTTTTGACGGATACAGATTCAGAAAATATAAAACAGTAAAATCATTAAACCTTAATGGTTGAAAAAATCCAATAAAACATATATAAATGGAATTAATAAAATAAACCATCGGGATTCATTATTTTGTTACAGACTATACGAGAAAAATTAATTGATTTGAAAAACTCTAGATAACACTGTACACTAGTGTGGTCCTTATTTATATTTTGTGATTTTTTTTTAACAAATTTGATGTCAAGTGTTCGGAATTTTGTTCTTTTCAGCATACAGAAAATATTGGTGAATTTTGAGCGTCCTAGTTCAAAACTCAACCCCTTCACGTGCCTCAAAGGGGTTGAAAATTAACTAAAAGATATAGGAATTTAGTTTTTTGTATATATCTTTTAAACAGTTATAAATAGAAAAAATTCCACAGAATTAATAATGCAGCAAACA